GCACGCACGCACGCACGCACGCACGCACGCACGCACGCAGGGTGTCTCGTAGCACTATCCTCGCTCGTGAGAAGATAGACGAGAGTGAGATAAATGAAAATGTTTTACCATTTTGCGATATTCGCAATAATTTTCGAGTTATTAAATATTTAAGTTGCACAAATAAAAGCGCGCGGAGAGAAAGTGCTCGCCCGCTTGATCCGTAGGACGGTCGCATACAGAAGATAGGCGAGGTAGGTAGCGGTGCAACTCACTATCCGACGCGATTACATGGCGATTATATGAGGCACTCGATGCAATCAGCTGATAGCTACACAAGAGTATTGATACATGCAACACATTCATGTCTTGCATCATCACACACACATGCGCGCGCACGCGCGCGCGCGCGGATGCACGCATATGTAGAAGCGATCATGCGCGTTGGATGCCCGCTGAGTTGTATCACCCCTGTCTATCTTCTGTACGCGGCCCGTAATTCGCGAACTGTTTTCCCTTATAATTTAAAAACTAAGCTTCTGATAAAAATTTGGTAGAAAAAAAATCGTCTTAGAATCGTTTCAGGAATAAGACATTTTAAAGACAAACGGTTGTTTTGAATCACTCTGTATCGCTTCGTGTCTTCGTAAAAATATTTTTGTTCAGCATCATACAATTTATTTTATTAACTTTAATTAACTAATTGTCTACCGAAACTTCATGAACTCTCTGTTAACGATCCACATAATGTCTAACAGAGGATGTAATAAAAGTCTCATAGATTTCCAGAAAGCGGAACTGTGGATTTCTTGTGGATGTCTATTGAAAGTCTAATGCTGGATTTAGACCAGCGCATTCTGAAAAGCTGTATGCTCATTGGATATTGCGCATCGCGTATTGCGTCATCGCTGGTCTGAATCCAGGCCGTCTCTGAAAGTTCCAAATATCCATAACCGACGTCTAATGAACATCTACTGGAAGATTTTGTTCTATATGAATACATTTATAATTATTTTAAAATTAATATATTAAACTTAAATTTAGATTTAAAGCATAATATTGAAGATATTAAGAAAATTATGTAATCCTTAAATAAAATATGAACAAATATATAAATATATTGATAATATTATTAACAGATTAATTTTAAACAATACATTGATACTAGCCAATACATGTTAACAAATAACAGTGTGTAACATAGTCCGTTTCATAGCAAGTGTTACATCCAGCCCGAAGTTTATTTAATTATTTTTATTTAATTATTTTATTTTAGTTTATTTAATTATTTTTCTTTAGGGAAAATGGATGGGCTAGGAAGGACGCTCCAAATACCCTCTCGCAGGTGGGCGCACTGAGGCATTCCTACGAGTCGGACGCACCGTGCAGATCCACGAGTGCGAGTCAACGTCTTGAGAAAAACGCTATGACTTCGATTGCGTGACGTGCGCCCATCGATCCGTAATTTAGGCAAGAGAATCAAATTTCTTTTGCCAGAGAGACAGGACCATGTGAGAATCTTGGAATAGCGAGGAACGAAAGAGGGAGGAAATAACTACTAATAAACATCAAATAATTTGAATTCTACATAATTGATAATTTTGAATGGATACAAATTTAACACAACTACAAGATATATATTATCACTTCTTGTTTTCAAGTATATTTGTTTAAGGCATATTTACATTTGATCAATAAAAAGATATTACAAATGTTTTTTTTGTGTTCGAGATGAGTAAAGGAACGGAGATTTATATAATTTACATATGATTGAATATTTTAGGAAATTTTCGGATGCATTATTCGATTTTTGTGTATGAAATCAATTGTATTGATATGTTTGTCCACATTTTATAACTATTCTTATTCTACGTT